GAACACACACGAGCAGTGTCTTAGAAAACCAGACCCGCTGCCTTCGAGGCGAATCTGACTCACGGCGACCCTGAGGCAGGGTCGACCGGCCTCTGCGTTTCCGAGTCTCTCCTGCGGTCCTGTGAGTTGGTCGAGCCCTTCACTGGCCTGGGCGCCAGTGTTTACGTCCTTCTTGATTGACGGGGGAGGGAGGACCTCGAGGGAGGGAGAGCTTGCTACGCAGGGGCTGTGAGGGGGCTTCCAAAAGTTCGTGGAAAACTTCCGTTATCTTTCCGTTCCATTTGCCCACACACTTTTTGAAGTCTCTTGTCTAGACGGCTTTCCTCCTCTACGTCGCCGCCCTACAAACGGTTGCTTGCCATCAGGTTGACCCAACTCTGGGAGACCCCACCTGTGTAGAGTGGAACTGCACTACAGGGCGTCCGAGGCTGGGACCTTTCAGAAGCAGATCTCCAGGCCTGTCAGCCGAGGCACCTCTGCGTGGGTTTCAACTATGTTGTCTCCCAGTCAAGCACTGAACCATTGGTGACACCCAGGAGCATGGGCCAGGGGGGTTGGATGTGCCCAAGGTCATTGGTATATGGCGCTGCCATTACGCTGACTCCTAGCTAGGACTGTGCTCTTCTGGCTGTATCGTTCCGATGAATGATGAATCAAACTCCCCAGGGGAAAGGACAATCAACATCCTTATCATGATGATACTGATACTGATAGTAATAATAAATAGAGTGCTTACCAGGGGCCAGGGTGTGTTCCAAGCATTCACTCATTTCATCCTCCCAAACACCCTTGGGGCAAGTACTCTTATGATTCCCATTTCCTTACGACAGGGAGACACGGAGTGGTTAAGTGAGTCTCTCAAAGCTCCACAGCTGGTGTCTAGTGGGATTGGGATTCACACCTGGCTCGGGTCCTTGTGCTACCGTATCCCGCCACCTCAAATGCTGTCCAGAGAACGGCATTCCTGAGATCCGTTCCTGCCAGGCAGATTGGGACTCTTGCTTCATCTTAGCAATGACAGCCAGCCTCCCTTCTAGAACCCCCCAGTCCAATCGGGACATTTTACGAGCTGAAGAAGGAGGCAAGCTTGGTTAGTTTGTTTTTGTAAAGGCTGAGTGAATTAAGGGAACCAGTGCTCTGGAGATCGATGGCATACAACATTGGGCAAATCCGAGAGAAAAGACCTCTTCAAAATATTCAACGACAAAATTGCCACTTTGAGAACAACGTTGAGGAAGGGTGCCTGACCTAAAAGGCATGGTATTGTCAGTCCTCTCACACGTATGTGAAAGCTGGACACTGATTAAGGAAGACCGGGGAAGACTCGACACACGTGAATTATGGTGCTGGCTAAGAATGTCGACTGTACCTCGGACGACCAGAAGCAGGAGGAAAAACAACTCTCCTCGAAGAAGTATAGCTAGAAATATGCGTAGACATAAGGATGGTGGGACTTCCTCTTGCTTACTCTGATGGGGAAGGACCAGTCCCTGGAGAAGGACATCATGTTTGATAAAGTAGAGGGCCAGCGAAGAAGAGGAAGATCCCGTGAGATGGACGGGCACAGTGGGCACCAACGTGTCTGCTACACAGAGAGATGGACAGGGACACGCCACACGTCATTCTCTTATCCAGAGGGTTGCCAGATGTGTGAGCCAACTTGGTGGCATGTAGCAATAGGAACAACTTACAAAATGTCTAGCCCATGCTGAAGGTGGACTTTGGGGCCAGGGCGTGGTGCCCCAACAGACAGGACTGGAAAACACTCCTAAAGGCCAACAAACGATCCTTGAACTAACTACAAGCTTTTCTTTCTTGTGTTTTGATTTGTTCTTTGTCAGTGGTTTGTTGTTGTTGTTTTGTTGTATATTGTTGCTTGGTTTTGCTCTGTCTTGTTTTTGTGCATGTTATTATCTCCGCAGGTCTGTCTAA